ATAATTGTTACAAATAAAAATTATCATCCTCGTAAATCTTTTTACAATCGAGCATGAGAGATGAAAATCCCTGACGTTCCTTTTCCTTGGTGTTTGCAGTGCTGCAGGAGAGTGTGTCCACTCTGGCGGTGCAGCTGCCTGGTTTTCCGCTCGAAAACCCGGAGCGCAGAGAGGAGCCGGAAGGTGAGGCATCTCGGCGAATGAGCTCAATTTGTGTTGAAATGCCGTCGACAGCCTCACGGATTCCTCACGCACGCCCCTTTGCCCACAGTGACGGACTGCCTGACGGACCGACAGGCAGTCATGGAGGAGCAGCGCGCCGCCAGCGACGTCCTCTACATCCCGGAGTGCACCGACGACGGCCGCTACAACAAGCTGCAGTGCTACAACTCGACGGGCTACTGCTGGTGCGTCAACGAGGACACGGGCAAGCCCATCCCCGGCACCTCCGTCAAGGACCGGCGGCCCGCCTGCGACGCGCTCGCGCCCACCATGAAGGGTGAGTCTGCGCTCCGTACTCGTGAGTGAGAGGGGTGGTCTACCTGCCGGGCGGTGGAGACAGCCGGCGCACCCGCTACTCATCTGTTTTACATACTCTATTAAATGGGTACTTTTCCTCTGCGATTCTAGGCTGTCCGGAAGTGAGAAGAAAAGAGTTCCTGAAAAACCTGAAAGACTTCTTCAAAGAAAGGATGCAGGCCGCAATGAATGAAACCGATTCTAGCAGGTAAGGCATCTTCTGCGTTCAGGAGCTGGCAACTGAAAGTATCATGGACTTTGTGACCCCTCCCAGTTCGTCAGACGGGTGTAAAACCGATACTCTTATTTAAAGTCTGCTTCTTGCTCCCTTTGCCTATGGCACGGGCCTCTCGTGACTACTCCGCTCTTTACAATTACAGCCCAGCGAACCGCCAGGTGTCTCCAGAGGACAGAATAGCCACGTGGAACTTCCTCGCGTTCGACAAGAACAAGAACAAGGTGCTGGACCGGCCGGAGTGGAAGGCGTTCCGGCAGCTCGTCAGCGGGCACCAGCTGCTGAGGCGATGCGGCAAGAAGCTGCCACGGTACTGCGACGCCAACCAGGACCGCTCCATCACCATCACCGAGTGGCTCGAGTGCCTCCGGACGCCGACAGCGGGTAAGGTTCAGGCTGCCTGCCCCCAGACCACGGCAACCACAGCGTCCTCCCTCACTCACGACCCTCTTGGTGTTACAGTGGAAGCAGTCACCGTGGCCTCACACACGCGGAGAGGGCCGAACCCCTTGGATTCCTACTTGAAGAGCGAGTAAAGGGAAGGCCCCCCCTCTCCCCTCCTGCAGCAGGTCGGACGGCTGGGTGGACTCGCGGGGTGGGTCATGGATCACACCCTGCGGGTTACGGGCCCCTCCCCAACCCAGCGTCGAATGTTCTCGCATCTCACCCCCCATCTTTGGGGACCCATCTGTGATAATCAGGGGGCGGACGACGACGAGGTCGCCGCCCTCACGATCTCATTGACTCTGTTATTTATGTTGTGGTGGACCATACAGTACGTACGTACACTGTTAGAGGTACTAGCAGCCCAGTGAAGTGTAGTTGTCTTACAAACTTCGTGAATCCCCGTATTATTGTTATTATTAT